AATTAACCCTTCTGATTCTGATACTCGTCCATGTTCTTTGTTCTCTTTTTTACGAAGGATTGTATTCCGCGGTTGCCAATTTTAATGACGCCACATGGTCTGATTCTCGAGCAGCACAAAATTCACAGTGAGGGTATCAAAATTCACGGTCGTGGAATTGAGGTTTGTACCGTGAATTTGAAGCAGGAGAAATTCACGGTTAGAAGGCTAAAATTCACGATCGTGGATTTCAAAGGGGAGACCGTGAAATTTGGTTTGATGGACTAAAATTACTTTTTAGGTTTAGTTTTTTGTTTCTTTTTGGAATTTTAATTATTTTATTTCTCCTGAGTTATATAAAGGGTTGTAAACATGAAATTTAGGCTTGTAGTTGTAGAAACTTTTGAAAGAAAATTAACTCTGAGGAGTTTTTCTCACATGGAGCATAAGTGCTTTTGGTTTATTGTTTTAACTTTTGGTGGATTCCATAGCTAAGGAAAGATCCTTGTTTGAGTTTTCTATTGAAGATTTCAGATGGCAAGACTCTTATCAATCAAGCGATCACACTTGATTGTGGCGAGTATCTATCCCCAAGTATCCTTTATTTTTATGTTTGTTTGAAGATAGATTCGGACTATCGGAGATGGAGTCGTAGCTGCGGGACTTTGACAAAAGAACCTATGCTTTCACGAGCTCGGGATTCCTTATCAAGTGGTATCAAAGCCTTGTTCAACTCAATAGACAAGAGAAGAGGATTATAAACTTTCTGCAAGCTCCGACAATGACATAAGAGTTAGGGCAAGGTAATTTAATTTGTTATATACTCGTTGTTTGATTAAAGAGAAGTTGAGTTCTGTGCTGGTAGATGGAGGGATCAAATCGAATTTGATCAACGCAAGAACAGTGGAGAAATTGGGACTACTAACGCAGTTCCATCCCGCAGAAAGTTTGATCGCTTCATGGCGAACAGTTTCCAAGCGTCGTGATTACACATGTTCATGTGAAATTCCCCATTGGACGCTACTAAGACGAGGTCTTGTGTGACGTGGTGTACATGCTTACATATCAACTTGTGCTGGGACAAACCTGGTTCCATGATCGAGGAGTTCATCTGGTCACTAGAAGATCCAAAAGTTTCGATTGTAACATCAGAAGAAGGTGTTCGATTTAAACCTTTATCTCCGAAGGAAGTTGCTGATGATTTGAAGGAGCTGAGGTGTACGAGTCTCCAAGCTTTGAACTTTGATAGCTTGCTTTGGACGACTAATTGCTGTGAAGGCAAGAAGACAAACTACGGTGGCTTGAGTCTAGTGAAGGATGGAGATTTTGGACGAGAAACTTCAAGTTTGGATGCTTCCGGATAAACCAATTATGTTTGGAAACTTGGATGGAGGTTTCATATATAGAAACATTCATGTTGACTTGAGCTTCGACACTCATGATTTGGAGCCCATGTTTGACCGGCTGTTTGAGCTCTTGATTCCGTGGGATTGTGGAGAATGTTTATTCTTTCTTGGTGCTAATTATATAGGAAATTTTGTTTGGAAGCTATGATGGAAAGCTTTGAGGACAAAACTTCTTCAACGGGGAGGGGATGATGTGATTCTTTAGCAGCACAAAATCCACGGCTAGGGCCTCAAAATCCATGGCCGTGGAATTGAGTTTTGGACCATGGATTTGAAACAGGAGAAATTCACGGTTAGAAGACCAAAATCCACGACCGTGGAATTTGGTCTGACGGGCTAAAATTACCTTTTAGGTTTAGGGTTTTGTTCCTTTTTGGATATTTGTTTATTTTATTTGCCCCAGGCTGTATAAAGGGTTGTAAAGATGAATTTTAGGCTTAGTGAATTTTGTTGAATGAAAATTAACTATGAGGAGCTTTTCCCATTGGAGCATGAGTGCTTATGGTTTATTGTTTTAGCTTTTGGTGGATTCCATAGTTAGGGCAAGATCGTTGTTTGAGTTTTTCTGTTGAAGATTTCAGAAGAGTTTGACAAGACTCTTATCAATAAAGCGATCACACTTGATTGTGGCGAATATCTATCCCCACGTATCCTTTACTTTTATTTTTGTTTGAAAATTGATTCAGGTTATCCGAGTTTGAGTCCTAGTTGCGCGACTTTGACAAAAGAGTCTAAGCTTTCACGAGCTCGGTATTCCTTATCACCACATGCAGGTAAAACTTCGATCGGTCGAGCGACAGTAGGCGATATACGCTTGGGGTAGACATGTAAAGACGAGTCAGGATGTCTGCTAAGGAGCTTTAGAACGAGCCCTTACACCCCTGGAAGCATGGCAAGGTCATACATCCGCCCAGAATGCTACTTAAGGGGGTCAACGCTTGGAGTGGAATTCTAACACACTATCGGCTCTCCTACGTCGTTTCACTAGCTAAACTGGCCATTTATCAATGTCCCATAATTTATGAAAATTTTATTTTTAATCATTTATGAATAGCATAGTTAAAAGCAATTTTTAACTATTTCAAATTCCCTCTTATGGGAACGAAAATAGAAATGATAGATTTGTCTTCACAATTATTATTTCTTATTCATAAAAAATACATCAATCATAGGTTTGAACCATGGTCTCTTTAAATAAAGACATGAATCATTACCAATTAATGTATTTGTTTTTCCAATCGGCCCATCTACATCTGAGGATAAATGGGTTTGGAAGTACACAACCACAGGGGCGTACAAGGTAAGTTCTGCTTATAGATTATTGCGTGAATCTAGAGACCATGCTTTTTTGTCTTTGTCTGCAGGTTCAAATGAGGCTCACCCCAATAGGCAAGACTGGAAATGGCTCTGGTCTCTATCAGTCCCACCAAAGCTTCGTTTATTCATATGGAAGAGTGCAAAGAGTGCAATTGCGACTCGTGAGCGTCTCCTCTCTAGGATGTGTTCGATGGATCCTTTGTGCCCCATTTGTGAGCATCAGGTGGAGTCGATCATGCACATGTTCTTTCACTACCTGCATGCTAAGAGTACTTGGGAGTGCTTTGGAGGGCTTTCCATCCCATCGACACCCGAGACTACATTTGCGGAGTGGTTCTTCTCCCTTAGAGAGAAAGTGTCGGATGAGGAGATCAAGAGGATTATATGCTGCTTATGGAATATTTGGATCGCTCAGAACGGGTTCGTTTTCGAGAACAAGGCTATTTCCCCGCCCTCAACGGCTGCATTAGCTGGGAGAGAATTTCTAGGCTTGGCTGAAGCTAGAAATTGTGATCGTTCTTTCTCTTCTATTCATTCAGCTATGGAGCCTACTCAACCTAGGGGATCCCGATCAAACCCCTCACCACCGCCTAGTGTCTTTCATAGGATTGTGCACTGTGATGGTTCCTTTGTTTCCGAATCACAGATGGCGGCTTGTGGGATTACAGTTGCTAATTCCCACGGTCAGGTGTATGACAGCAAGGTTGAGAGATTCTTTTGTTCCAATTCGATGCAGGCGGAAGCTTATGCTATTCTCAATGGATTGACATTGGCGGCTCGAGAACAACGCTCAACTTGTGTCAAATCTGATTGTCAGATTTTGGTGAATGCTCTAAAGCTTGTTCCGGACCAGTGGCCTTGGCAATGTCGGGCTTTACTTGCTCGTGTCTTGACCATTCTCGTCTAGGCTCTGTGGGGGAAAGTGATGTTTGTTCCTAGACGTCACAATGCTAGATTAGGTGCTCTCCCACGAGATTGGATCATTATTGCCGATCTGTTATCTCCTTTCTTGTCATCAACTGTACTTCCATTGTTTGGATTTGGAATGAAAGTGCTCCAATTTGTCAAAAAAAAAAAATAATGTATATGTTTAAACCAGAAGGATACAGAAGGAAATTTTTGTTGTTTTCCAATTTTGGATAAAAGAAAGAAAGAAATTTTGTGGTTTCAACTTTTTAGTGTTTCAACTTTCAAATTTTAGTCTTTCAAACATGAATCTTGGATTTTTTTTTTATTTTTTTTTTGTGTCAGCATGGCTACGGGCCGGGGGAGACCCAACCACATAACCAATCTTGAATTTTTATGTGGATGTCAATGTTAATTAACATAGTCTTATATGTAATGACTAATTGACTATATTAAATTAGAGAACTTATCATGAGTTATTTCATTTTCAATATCAAATAAATGAGTTATCACTCGAACTATCTCAAATAAATGTTATTTTACATTATAAATCATATACTTAATTACTTACCAGTTTGATTACCAAGGAGCCAAACCTCTCTTCTCCCTCCTCTCTTCTCCCTTCTTTCTTCTATCTCAGGAAATCTCTCTTCCCCAATTCAATCCCTGATCGATACCAAATCTCTAATTCCAAATCTATTCTCAATCTCAAAATCCTAGAAGGAGACGTCTAGATCCATATTTCTTAGAAAACCCTCGAGCGGAACCCATGATGAGTTCGGCAAAACTCGAGGACTGTTACAATTAGACTTTTTAAGGGCATAAACTTCAAACGCAAGAGCTAGTAACATCACTTTTCATCTTAATTGAGTGTCAACAGCCAACAATGATCAGTAGGTTTTTTTTTTTTTTTTTGGCCATAGATAGATTATAAATCAATAGGAGGTTACAAGATTGAAAGGTAAAAGCGGTCATCAATACTAATCGACATGTCGATAAAAGAGTCATTTTTGCTACGCAATGGACAACTTAGTAAGTTAACTCCATCCCCCATCCTCGATAATGGGACCGAACCGCTGAATCACTAAGGTGTCGAACGAACCATGTGTCTTATCTAGCGTCTGCAGCTCACGACGAAGGCTGGAAGCTCTTCCTGCGTCAAGGATTCAAACTCCAAACCATCCATAAATAGGTTTCACAATGGATGGTCGCACGAAAAGATGACTTACCAGCCAAAGCTTAAGCCCACCAGCCTCATTCTCATTGGCAGAGATTCGAGAAGCCTGTAACAGAGCGCAACCCAAGAAACTTCTGATTTCGTCGTATTTCGAGGATCCTCCAGATGCATATTCCAGTAGCTGCAAGAACTTGTATTTGCTTCACGAAGTATATCTATGCAGGTCCCTCTGCTGGTGATGTACAACAATAACTTGAAGAAGAGGTGGCTTGGGAAGCAAGTTTTAAGTCCAAGAGCAGATTGCACGAGATGTTCCAGAGCTTTTCTGCGAGTCTGGTGTCGTAAGAAAGCATGTAAGACCTCAAAGTTCTGCCATCTCCAGCAAAGAAGTAAGCTCCAGACACGTGCTGACATGGAGCAGGACGATTATTCAGGTCAGTGAAAAGTAAAAAAAAAGGCCGTTTTCATTCTAATTCAATGGCAGAGTCAGCAGCTGGAGAACTTACTGATGGGGCCAAAGCGGCATCGAGGATGGAGTTAATCCCATTCTCCGGTGACTGTAGAAGTCCCAGTACTCTGAACACCAGATACGCAATGCTGGAAAGGGAAAAAGGAACTTCCTGCATGATGTTGGTTTTGACCATTCCTGGATGGGCAGAACTTTATGAAACAAAATCGGAAACGAGTCGATCAAGAAACATAAAACTAAAGCAATTATGAAACAAATATCAGTCTCGATGAGATGTACTTTTCTGAATCTTGAATCTCTTTTAGTGCAGCTCAAGCACAAGAACTAAGGTCAAGAGCACATACAGGACAGAGACTTGACCAGGCTTGTTGTCCAAATTAAGCTGCCGGTGAAGCTCATAGGTGAATAGAAGGAGGCACACTACAAAACGGCATGACTGAGTGGGCGCCAGTTCAGAGATAATCTACTGAACATGCTAGGAGGAAACTCGAGCTTACATTTTGAGTACTGATAGATACGAGCACATGGGTATTCTTTTGATCTGAAGAAGCATTTCCCGGTAACAATGTCTTCATTAATCTGTGCACCAAAGACTAACAGAAAATTAACCACGCAAGGTTAGTTTTTTCCCTTTTATAGATGTCAAAAGCCCTATAGGATATTCAGACTATGACCTGACTTATTGTTAAAAAACATTCAGACCTTTAAACTTTAAGACTTCTAAGGAAAACTTGTCTCACAAATAGAGACCAGTGAAGAACTTGATATATTGAGAGAGCACTCTATGGACTTAAACGTGCAGAGAAAACCAAAACATGGTACAAATAGGTTCAATGAAAAGAGGGCTAAATCACCTCAGCTGCTACAAATATGATATACTGGATAACAAGAGTTCATACCTGCTCGATGAGTAAATGATGTCACATTCACTATACGTGAACCAACAGGGCTAGTTTTGAGAAGGGGTAGTAGAAGTTTAGTTAAAAAGAAGGCACCAAGATAATTAGTACCCATCATCCTGAAAAAAGAGGGACAGACGTTCAGAAAAATTTGCTAGTGATAAATCAACTCCAGAGCATGATTAAAATGGCTAACAAATCTAGCAGAGTCGTGGGTTAATTAAAATGGAACGGTGGTAGACCTAAGAAGCAACATTCACTGCAGAACTAAGATTATCAAATATATGTAATCATAAAGGAGAATGATCCACTTGCTTTCATAGTAGGCTTTAATCAGGCAAAAGAAATTTTCATCTCAGCCAGTGCAGAGGATAGGTCATGCTGGAAGGCCAAATTAGCATAACAGCAGTTCACGGATATTTTATGCAAATGAACAACCTTTTAGTTGGGTTAGGGGATTAAAACATGAAACAAGAACCTTCATCTCTAAAAGGTCATGTACAAATGTCAAGGAGAGAGCTGTATAACAAGCCACTTAAGCATTAATGTCATTGGTAACATGTCAGTACGTCACTAAATAGTCTAGGGAAATGAAGGTTACTGATCATAGCCTTCAGCAGTGGGCCGAGCCGATGTTGCCAGAATCCCCTCATTGTTTATCAGTAACTGGATGGAAGAATGCATATCCGAATCCATTAGCCACTTCTCTAAAGAGCTTTTGAACTCCAAGATGGAGCGAAAAGATGACAAGTCCACCACAAAACCCTTGAGATGGGCATCCTTGTTCTGTTCTCTTATATCCTCCATTGCCTGCCACACAACAAGACCAACTAAAAACCTGAACATCCATAATGTGGAGAGCCAACACACCACATCCCCAAAGACAGGATTATATGATCCAAACCTTGGATAATAATTCTGATGATAGTCCAATTGCCATTAAAACCGGACCAACGAAAATATTTCAGGTTCGATCGAGATACAAAACAACCTCTCCCCAGTAATGATAAAACGTACCAAGTAACTAACCAAGAACAACACAAAACCCTTCTTTTGACAAGGCAAAAGCAGCAGCAGCACCAAGACCCGACGTTGTCTGTTCACAACGAACACAAGCGAAAAAGAAGTACACTCAGACATAAAAGCAAACAGTTTCCGTGCATCTAGTCTGAGAAAGCTACAATAGGAGGGAATCCAAACAAAAGCTTACCCCTGTAACAATGCAAACAAGCCTGGTACGGAAATTTCTCGGAGTTTCACTACGTGGATAAACGTCGCACCTCCCAGCAATCCCTATGGGGAACAACTGCCAGTAGGAAGCCAGAAGCGACGCTGTCCAACACAATCCCATCGTCCAAAACTCCGCCGAAAACATAAAGCGCAGAACGCAGCTAATTTCCTTCACCGCTGCGTTCAATTCTTCCCTTACAAGAATAAACTCAAGAGCTCAGTCGGCCCGATTCAGAGCGCTCAGAGCACCAGTTCCAAAACCAACCCGATTCCCACTTGCGGAAAGATACGATCTTTCCCTTTGAATCCTACCTAATCAAAACCCTTTCATGCAATCACCCAAATCAGATATTTAACATCATCTGACGAACCACAAGTCAACAACCCACGGTGAGAACCAAGTAAAATTCGGAAAAAATCCCAGAATATACCAATTATTAAAAAAAATTACCAAAATACAGTACTTATAAAACTAATTCCCAAAATACAGCAGTTTCAACATCACTGTCTTTGTCTAAGACAGTGATGTTGATCACCGTTTTGGTCTAAAACGATGATACATCACCGCTTTAGACTAAAGCAGTGATGTTATCACCGCTTTAAACCAAAGCAGTGATGCCATCATCGCTGTCAAGGACGACAGTGATGGCATCACCATTGATGTGGCAGGCAGTGAAGCCTTCACCGTTGGATCCAACAGCGGTGAAGGGGCGCGGATCGCTGACGTGGACGCGCGCGGGCACTTCACCGCTGAAGACCAAAGCGGTGATAGCCCCGCTTTCCACGTCAGCGATCCGCCCCCCACCCCGCGCCTTCACCGCTGCCGTCGGATGCAGTTATGCGCGGATTGTGGTTTTTCTCCACAATCCGACGCATCAGGAGAGGCCACGTCAGCGATCCCTGCACATCACCGCGTCCAACAAAGGCGGTGATGGCGCTGTGTTTGTTTGGGGCGGTGATAACTGGCCAGGTTTTTTCCCAGCCCCAAACCCTATAAATACCCATCCCCCCTCTCATTCCAAACCACACCACCACTTCATACTTCTTTCTCCCTCCATTTTTCACTCTAGTTTCGTTCTAAGTATGCTCTGTGGTTGCGGCTAAGTCCGATCTTCCGCATCAGAAAGAATTACTAGAGTTTTTGTTTTGTTGTTTTGTCGATACTCTCGCTAGCTTTTCGGCAAAAAATGGACGAAGAGGCTTTGAGAGTACGTAAATTTATTTAATTCTTTTGTGCATTTTTTTTTACATGGGTGCTAAAATTTAAATTGATTTGATTTCATATTTTTTTATAGATGGGTGCTGAGATATACGACCCTAGATTGTATATCGATCCTGGCCCAAGGGATCGAAGGTATTTAACCGGGCAAGATCAACATCGCTCTCGTTCAATTTGGAACAATAATCCGGTAGATACACTACAATTATTTCAATAGTTTTAAAGTTTTTATTTTGCTTTCTATTGACTGACAATATTGTGTTTTTTGTTTTGTAGGAATCACTTATTCCCATCAGTCATCGAGGTACATGTCGATTGCCCCGTTGGCATCCTCGACTGCATCCCTATCTAGAGAGGGCGGGATTGCACAATTTGAGGCACTTTATGAGGCTAGATATTGACAACGATCTGCTGACGGCAATGGCAGAGCGATGGCGCCCTGAGCTGCATACCTTCCACTTTCCCGAGGGTGAAATGACGATCACCCTCAAAGATGTTGCCATCCTCACCGGGCTCCCGATCACCGGAGATGCCATCATCGACAGCTCGAGAAAACCAGAAGATGGTTGGGGGCCATTGATTCAGGAACGTCTGGGGTTCAACATGCCGACCACCACGCCCGTCGAAGGGGTTGGGCATCCACCACTGAATGCGGGGCAAGTATCGATCCCGTGGCTTGTTGACCACATCCAATTGGAGGTTAATATAGGCCTTGATACTCCTGAAGATCAGGTGGAGCGGTATGCACGTGTATACCTAATTGCCTTGGTTGGTGGGTTTCTGTTCCCCGACAAGTCAAATAAGTGGATACAAGGCATGTGGTTCCCTATGCTCCTCGGTGACTGGGACGAGATCGGGAGAAAAAGTTGGGGGTCGGCCGTCTTGGCTGGAATCTACCGAGAGTTGTGTACTTGCTCGAGGTTGGGAGCGAAACAAGCTGGTGGTGCGATGTTCATACTTCAACTCTGGGCATGGGAGCATCTTCCGTTTCTCGCACCTCAAGACCCTCGGGAATTCTGGTTGCCAGATGATGAGCTACGATTTGTAGCAAATCCCCCATATGGTTTCAAGTAAGTTCAATTTAAGTTGAATTTATTTTAGATATGCAATGGTAGCTAGTTAGGTGAATTTAGATTTTAGTGAACTTAGTGAACTTAGTATGCAATTTTAAGTATGCAATTATAGTATTTTAGTGAACTTAGCTATCTTCCAACTAAGCGAATTTAGAGACATTTTAGGTCTGCAATTCTAGTATTTTAGTGAATTTAGATATCTTCCAAGTAAGTGAATTTGGATTTATTCTAACCAAATCGTATTTAGCTAATTTAAAAATTGCTTATATATGTACTTTTGCTTAATTAGGTGGATCGGAGCAAATACTAACGACCACCAGGCCGAGCACTCTTTACTGTTTTATCGTGCTGAATTTGATAAGCCTTGGTGGAACCAGGTAAAAATATTGAATGTCATGATTTTCAATTTATTAGGTGGAGTGGATATAATTTTTACTAATTACGTGAATTGTAATGATTGTAGGCGGTATGGGATCCATATCCAAATGAAGTGGTTGAGTTGCATCGTCTTAGACATCCCGAGGATCAAGAGACATGGTTGTGCAAGGTGCCCTTAATCTGCTGGCACATGGTGGAGTGGCACCTGCCCGATCGATCTTTGAGGCAATATCGATTGGAGCAACCAATTCCAGCATCCCCACCTCAAGGGTTCAGGGAGCTCCACGCCATTGACCTACGCTACAACAAAAAGGATTGGACCCGCAAACATGAATTCTACATCAACATATGGGAGAATAGAAATCAGTGGGTGGTCCAAGGGGCGCCGGAGACAAGGCCAATGGGGTACCACGATGGCTACATGCGGTGGTATCGGCACTTCACGCTAAGATGGGTGTCAAAGCAAGGTGCTGTTTGGGGCGCAGTGGTAAGTGAATTCCATTTTGGCCTATTTTAGTTAATTTTTGTAGTATAATTACATGCCTATATTTGCTAGAATGTTAATTAACATTATTAGATTTAATGTTAGTTAATTTTTGTAGTATAATTACATGCCTATATTTGCTAGAATGTTAATTAACATTATTAGAGTTAATTTTAGTTAATTTTTGTAGTATGATTACATGCCTATATTAGATGATAGAAATCATTATTAGATTTACTATTAGTTAATTTTGTAAAACAATTTATTAGGTTGACGGTTTGGAGCATGCGAAGCACACCGTCGAGAGTGCACCCACCATGGATGAGCGGAAGACATCTTTTTTGCGCAGGCTTTTCAACAACTTGCTCTGTTGTACCAGAGAGCAAAGGAGGGATGTCATATTATACCCTCCAGTGCCTGCTCCGGCCCGACCTTCATTCCGTGCTGATGAGAGGATTGTGCCCCCAGAAGAGCCCCCACGGAGGAGCAGAAGAAGGGTGAGAGAACACATTGATGAGCTTCGTCCGTCTCAGCAAACTCAACTTCCTCAACCATGGCCACATTGTGAGTGGGCTACTAGTACTGAGGGAACCGGAGGGTCGTCAAGCTATGCCCCGACGATGGAGCATGACATGTTCACCCAAGCCACCCCTCAGTTCCACCATCAGCAACAAACTACTCAGTATCAGACCCCGCAACAGCAACATACATCATCGACTTTCTACCACACTTCTGGTCCAACTCAGCAACCTCCACCCCCACCACCTGTCTACACTCCGGTGGGTGGTCGGGTTAAGAGGAATCCGCGCGCAGTTGTCCAGCGGGCTCGTGAAGAAGGAGGAGGAGGTAGAGAGGGCGGAAGAAGGGGCCGAGGAGGTCGTGGAGGAAGAGGAAGAGGAAGAGAATGGGAAGTGGAGGGAAATGAAGACAACCAGTGAACTATCTATGTCGTTCTAATTTAGTTCCATCTTTTTTTGTTTTCCATGAACTATCCATGTCGTCTAAATTTGGTTTGGGGCTTGTGTTGTTTTCCATGAACTATCTATGTTTCTAAATTTGGTTTCGGATTGTGTTGTTTTCCATTAACTATCTGTCGGCTAAATTTTGTTGGTTTTTACCCCCATGTTGTACCAAAATGAACAACAAACGCCCTTTATTACAATCACTGTCATCGATATCGTCGTTATCGTCCGCATCTTCCTCCTCACTGACTGATCTCAAATCTTCCTCACTTTCATCGTCACTGGAGGCGAATGGATAGCTCGGCGAAGGAGGGTCATCGTTAGCAGCATAACCAGCATCGCCTTCTTGGTCATGCGAAGTACGCCCAGTTCGAAGGGTGTTTTCAATGTCACCCCACTCTGGACCCCAAGCAGGCCATTGATCACCGTCGGGCTGAACGATATCGACGGCAGTCTCACCACCATGTGGCAGGTATTCTTCCCACCCAACAGCTCCTTCAGAACTACCTCCTCCGTAGTTGCTTGAAGTACCTCCCCAACCATACCCTCCGGCAGAAGAACCTGCTCCGTAGTTACTTGAACTACCACCCCAGCCATACCCTCCTGCAAAACCATCATCATAAGAATACTGGTGAGAATGAGTTTCACCGACCGGCTCGGTCTCGACATACACCTCTGCAAGCCGCACCCCGTTCTCAGATATGAACTGTGTCATCATGTTCGCGTCGTCATCGTCATTTATGTCAACTCTTTCGTACATGACTCCGTCAGCACTCATGTTGGGATACCGGTAAGTAATTTGACGAACTCTCATTTGCCCGCCCGTACAAGTCCTTTCTGCACACCTGTCATGGAGTTCTTGCCACGAGAATCTCGACTCAATTGTAAGCGAACTGGATTCGCCATCTTCATAGTCGATCCCAATGTTCGAGTTTGTCACCCGACCATTCCAATAAATAATAAGCCGAAACTTCTTAAATTTACCCATGTCTGCAATTTATAATAATTAAGTATAGTATATAATTAGTA